CCGCCACCATGCACCCCTCATCCCCCTCCGCCAGTACCAGAAACACCGCCACCACAAAACCCCCAGCCCCCCCATCCTAGCCAGATGCACCACCAACCCAACCCCTCTTCACCCCTCCGCCTCCTGTCACCCTCCCTCCTCATCCCCTTCCTCGCTCCTTCTCAGGCTTCTCCAGCAAGTGAAAGAAGTCCTGGCCATGAAACTTGCTGACGTCAGCCGAAACTCGACTGCAACCACAGACGTGAACACCAGAAGACAGGAAATTGCGGAGGATGAAGACATTGGGCAACAAATAGACTTAAGGGGGGCTGCGGAATAGGACTGTGCCAATAGATGAGGTGGTGCACCAAGACGGGAGGGGTAACACTGTAACACTAGCAGCTCCATGGGAGAACGGAGCCCAGGGGTCAGGACTCGGAAGCGAATCGGCCACAGTCCCAGCAAACAACAAACAGCCATAAGCTTGTCATTTCCGGCCTGACCACATAGTAGTCTGCTTCTGTTACGGCTGCCCTGCCCTGCCAGCCCTCTCTCATGCTGTCAAGGCCTGCCAGTCTCACTACTCTTCCATCTTCCATCTTGCCTCGGGCGGATTGCATTTCATTTTCTGCTCTAGGTCACACCAGTAAAGAGGGCCACACAGCTCTCACACAGCACTGACACAGGCATCCACTCTGTACTATGCTCCCGGGCACATGTCATTACTGATTGACAAACTGCACACAGCCAGCAGAAGTCACACACTATCGCTCCAAGATCCAAAGGGTGGGGTACGGAAATGGGAGGTTTTCTAACCTACAAGAACGCAGATAGAAGCCTTGGGACCGGAATTGGCTAGTATCACTCACAGCCTACTGTCATGTAGGCAACCGGCCCGGACTGCTGTGTTGCTTGACTGTCAGTTTTCCTACTTTCTGGGTGAACCCCGTTACGGCGTTACCCCTGCAGTTTGCAGTCATTGCGGTCACACGTCCAATGCATCCAAACAGTCAACAACAATGTTCAGGGACATGCTGGACCCAGTTTCCAGCAGGTGCTGCTCCCCACCAAAGAGGTGGAGCCTCCCCGAGAGTGCTAGTGTTGCCTGCTCTTATCAGCACACCTAGCACCGCCTCGGGTTGTTCTCATAGTATAAAAAAGAGGGGTAACTTCGGCGCAGTCACAAAAACCGTTTGTAATTGCACTTCAGGCAATCCCACGAATACAACACACCCACACGCGACCCCACCGGACCCAAAACGTAGGTCATATACATTCAGCATTACCAGCCCTTTTGCCTCATTGACAAGTGCAATTACAAACTCAAACCCTGACTGCGCCGTAGTTTTCTCAAAAAAAAAGGGACTCTCCCGAGATGCGTGACCAAAAAAACGCACCAACTCGCCGTTTACATTCAGACCGCGCCCCGGCTGGTGAGCGCTGGGAAGGTGCCTGCACTCTCAGATAGACCTCACCCGAGGTGTGACCGAGGTTGTGAGTTTCATGAATCTGGAGTCTGGTTGGTACCAAATTACAAATGCACTAGAATTCCATAAGGACTCCCTAGATTCTATGCTGAAACATGTCGATATATACATTGGACATTGCAGCTGAGGAGTCGGTGAGGACTCCCTCAATTACTCCAACTTCTCGCCTTGTTAGCAATTGCTGCAAGGACTCGATCTAGTAAAATTCCGTCAGCTGTACCTCCTGCCCAACTGAGTAGAGCACAGCCCCCAGCTGAACAAACCCATTGTCCGTCGCAGCGTGCCTTTTCTTTTCTTTTCTTTTTTTTTTTTTTTTTTTTTTTTTTTTTTTTTTTTTTTTTTTTTTTTTTTTTTTTTGAAAGCAGCCCTGTTGGATGCTAGTGATGCTGATAAGAGAAAACACCACTAGCATGCCCGGGGAGGCTCCATCTATTGGTGGGGAGCAACACCTGCTGGAAATCGGGTCCAGCGTCCCTTGACAATTATGGAATCATATCAGCGAGCCACGTGTCGACCGGACAGCAATCATGCACAACCAGTACAGGCCAGCCAACACACAGCGCTACATAAGTTGATGAGCAGCATTGATTACCGTTGCTGCTGAGGGTTTGCTGCTCATCATTATGAGAACAAGATTCCCCCTCCGACACCCTTGCGATCTACCAATAACAGGGAGGGGCAGTCGGAGCGCGAGATTATAGAGGATTATATCGTCTGCCAGGTCATCAGCACACCACGTGGCCAACACTCCGCGAGATTATAGAGGTTTATATCGTCTACCAGGTCATCAGCACACCACGTGGCCAACACTCCGCAACCTCCGACATCCTTACGATCTACCAATAACAGGGAGGGGCAGCCGGAGCGAGAGATTATAGAGGTTTATATCGTCTACCAAGTCATCAGCACACCACGTGGCCAACACTCTGCCAATCCACGTGGGCAAATATAACACCCATCATGTCAGCGCGCCACGTGTGAGGTCTAAAGCCAGGCATAACAATTCACACCTACACATGGCGCAAAATATCCCGATAAGCAACCGGAGTTACCCCCTTAACGAGGCAGTCAGTTGCTCATCCCTATCGAAACACCCTCGCCAAACCCTTATCATCTACTATTAAGTGGGAGGGGAACGCCATTTCCGCATCGATCATCACCAAAAACGAAAACCCGTCAACTTCCCTCAACCACCTCCCCCCCGATTCTCATTATTCGAAATCGCGTTTTGACCGGGGAGGTGAAAGCAGCACCTATCCTACCCCTTCCCGCCACCAACCCTCCCCCCACAATCCCACGCCCTCTCCCAGTCCCACACACCTCCCACTCGCCCAGCCGTCTCACCCCTGACCCCAGTCGTGCCGCACAGCACATAGAAACGAAAGCAGAACAGGAGAGGAGAACTGAGAAGAAAGAAGCAACCTAATCGCACTTACCTCCCTATCAGTATCTTCCCCCTGATCGGTGTTATCGCAGATTTTATTGCTGCATGCTATGTAATCAGCCTTATTGCTGTTGTTATTTTCACCACCGCGACCATTGCATGCTATGTAATCAGCCTTATTGTTGTTGTTGTTTTCACCACAGCGCCCGTCACCCATATCGTCAGCAGCGAGGACACAATCACTAAGGCCGACCACAGCGTTTTGAGCGTCATCCTTATATACACACTCGTCAATCCCGGCGCACAGGCCCCGCCCCCCCTCAAGGCCCCTGCCCCCACAATTTGTAAGCGCGTTGACGTCGAAACATATCTGATCCGCACATTCGGCACAGGAGGGCAGCCCCTCGTCCTGCGGCTCCTGCCCCCTCACCTCGCCAGCTTGCTCAAGCAGCCCCCCTTGCTGAACAGAACTCGCAGTGATCAATGACGTCGCTGCTGCAGATGATGATGTCGTCGTCGTGAATGCCACAATCGGTGACGTCAATGTTGTTGGTGATGTTGTAAATGATGCTGGAGGTATCGTTGCTATCTGTATCGCGGTGCTTGACAAGTCACGTGTGTGTCTTCTCGCCAACAGGTCAGAGAACTTGTTTTTAATTCGCTGCACCATCTCAACGCAATCATAAAAAACCGCAATCGCTGGCTCTTTATCGCCCGCGTCCTGCTGTCGAGAAGAAATCAGCTCATAGAGCTCATCATCCAACCCATCGTAGATGTCCTCTCCCTCCAGCAGGACCTCGTACAGCAGATCCACTCTCGCCTGGCACAGCGTGGCATGCATCTCCTCCAGCTGTAGCTTGTAAGTTATTGCAATGGACCACGCAAACACTTCCTCCGTCGCCGTGCCTCCCTCCATCCACGTGGCAAGACACCACACACATCTGCTGGGCGCGCGCACAGGCCTAGCGCCCGAAGAAACCCCCCGGGGCACTAGTCGCGTCGGCAGCCCGGGCCTTGCCGGACTGGCAGCTTGCGGGGCGCCAGAGTCGTGTTTTTACGGCCCCTCGAGCCTGCAGGATACCGGCCAGGGGACGGCCGGTAGCACCAGGGATAAAGCGGACCAATCCCCCCCTCCCCAACGAACATAGCAGACTCTGCTTGATGCCGATCGGGAGATCCAATGATCTATCTCTTGGGTAACAGGTGCCAAGTAATCCCAGGAAGGCATGAGGCCAATGGGATTGAACCCATGACCCCCCGAATGCCACTTGCGAGCCTTACCAACTGAGATAGACCGTCCGGTGATGTTTTATTGATCTCTCCTCCTTAACGTTACGTTTCGTTGGGGGCCGCGCGAACGCGTGCCCCCGCTACCACAAATAATGCCGTAGTAATACCGCTGTGGGTATGACTTAGGCCAGGCGAGTCCCAAAGTGCAATGGGAGACCCTGCAACCTAGGCCGTCCGCCTTTTTGATCACGGATACGCCCCGGCCAGGTAAGTATGCTATATCAATGGAAATTGCAGTTTATATACCATTGTAGTATGGAGTGAGCAGAAGAGAAGAGAAAAGAAGCCCCTGCTGTCGTTGGGGTTGGGAAATGGGCAGCAGTTATGGGACGGGTCGAGCCTTCACAAGAGGTTGTAACTTGTAAGCACGGCTGTTGCAGCTGTGAACTCAATTGCTTTCACAAGAGGTTGTAAGCACGGCTACTACTGTGAAGTTTTTTTTTTTTTTTTTTTTTTTTTGTGTGTGTGTGGTCCGATGGACCACGGATCAGATATTAAACTGATCAGAACAGATACTACACTTCGTCCCTCGCTCCACTAATCTACGTTCGACAAAATTCGCCGGGACTGACCAAACATTTTGAATGTGTCCGGACGAATTTCGCCCACAAATACATTTCAAATGTTGTGCGGTGGGGCGAGGGAATTTGTTCTGTAGGCCTTAGCATGACTGGTTCGATCATCTGTTCACTGCAGTAAAATAAAAGTTCCATGTTTTTTACCATTGAGATATATGTATGGGAGGGGCCTCGCTCCACGTCCACAAACGACAAAAATTATGGCGGTGTATTTTGCCAGGCTCTACGCAATGATTCATTCTCATTTTCCACATGTAGTGGACCAAAGGTCCAAGGCTTGGGTGCCTCAGCTCTTTCGACAAACCGTAAGCCACTGTGGGGGACAGACCCTTCCCGCACTGTGTTGTGAACTTGCCCCCCCTTCCACTATCATGTCCGTCCTCTGAAAGGTGAGGTGGATTTGGATCATGTCTCCCCCAGTGGACTATTTCTAGGCCTTTTTC